CGCTCAGCTCGGCTAATGAGTGCTCTCTCTCTCGTCCCCATCATGAGTAGACACGCCCCTTACTGCTGATTGGCTACAAATTTGTTTTGGTGCTCGGCCCGACTCAGTTTTCTAAAGCTGTTTATTGAAAAATTAATTTTTCAATATTTTTGAAAAAATACATACCCCACCTTTAAAAGACGCTACATAGTAAAACATTTTTAAAGATAAAATTGTCAGATTTTTAGAGATTATTTTTTATAATTATTTTAAATGATTTATATAATTATAATACCCTTAATCCATTACACAAGCTAGCTTAGTTTAAGGTATTTTGGCTACAAGTTTGTTTTGGTACTCGGCCCGACTCGGTTTTCTAAAGCATTTTTGAAAAAATACATACCCCACCTTTAAAAGACGCTACATAGTAAAACATTTTTAAAGATAAAATTGTCAGATTTTTAGAGATTATTTTTTATAATTATTTTAAATGATTTATATAATTATAATACCCTTAATCCATTACACAAGCTAGCTTAGTTTAAGGTATTCTATAGTCTTTGCTCACTGCACGTTGGGACAGTGATCACTCGAATTCCAGTGACATGACTACGTACAGCGTCAACGGACAACATAGAATGTCATCACTGGAATTTATAAACAACAGGACCAATCTCTTTTTGATATTATTTTTATTCTCTTCTGTTACATGTTCTTACAACATTACAGCTGAATATTAATTATAAATGATAAATTATTAATTATAAATGTTAATTAGATGTGTTCAATTCCTGTCTAGTGATGTGTGTTTATATTGAAATTAATGGTTTGTCTTTTCAAATCTTCTATAGCGTGTCATATATTTATCGAGTTGGCTTGTGTGATTTATGTTTTACAAAATGTGACGTTATTTCCGGTAAGGGAGCATAGTAAGCGCCAATGTTCCCTAGTTTTTGCGGTGCATTGTGGGATTTTTCAGGGAGCGAATGTTCCAGTGCACTGGAAGGATTTTGCGATTGAGACCATAGACATATGATTGAGACAGCCCTTAAAATGGCCTACTCCCTGATCAGTGCCCTGACTACTGAACAAGGGAGCTGATTGAGACGCACCCATACTTTTTAATCACAAATGCTCGTCTTGCTCTAGTCTCGCGTAGCCAGACATTCAGACTGACGACCGAAGGTCTGGAATCCATGGCAGCTTTCATTGGCCAAAGCCCACCCATGAGGCCGTTTGACCGACATGTCAAACAACCAATCACAGTTCGTTTAATTTCAGCGTCACGTTTTGGGGCGTGGAAATGTCGCCACAATAACAGATCGGTGTGTAAAACTCTCGGACATATTAAAAAAATTCTGTGCCGTGAACTTTAAATATTTCACATTTGAAAATCCAGCGTTTAGTTGATCCTGATAAGCGCTCGTCGTCACAGTTGTAAACACGACGTCTTTCTTCTTTCGTGAGGGGGTTTGGCGTCACGGCATCTTTGTTTCCAGGCGGAACGTTACACAACGCGACACACACGTCTCCCGGAAATCCTGTATAATTCAACCAATCCGATGACGACTTCGAAACTCCTGAAGTGTTTCCACTTTTGTGTGCCATGTGCATTAGACATTTAGCCAATGTGACATTTAGCCAGTGAGCGTGACATCTGAGGCTGAGACTAGTCTTGCTCTAGCTCTGCTTGTGCATGCGCGTCTTCATGTATTACATAATCCCGTTGGAAAGGTCAAGTGCGGTTGTACTCCGGTTCAGAAAAGTAGGGTAGGGCGAAAAACTCCATCTCATTTTCTCCTCCAACTTCAAAATTTACCAACATCGTTGTTTGGCGTTTCACTTTCTTTGCACGTTCGTTTTGTAAACGCTGGGTCGGTGCTTCCGCCTACATCACGCGTGACCTTTCCAACGTGATTACGTAATGCGTGAAATCGAGCTTGTGCACAACGAGCATTTGTGGATAAAAAGTATACAAATGTATTTTTTTAGTTTTTAGAAAATGACTGATCGTTTCGCTAGATAAGACCCGTATTCCTCGGCTGGGATTGTGTAGAGCCCTTTGAAGCTGCACTGAAACATTTCCATTTGTTCCCATTTTGGTTCCCATTGACGTCCATTATAAGGAGAAAAATCCTGGAACTTTTTCCTCAAAAGCCTTAATTTCTTTGCGACTGAAGAAGAAAGAAAGACATGAACATCTCGGATGACATGGGGGTGAGTAAATTATCAGAATTTTTTTATTCTGGAAGTAAACTAATCCTTTAATGGAGATAAAGTTGAGCAGGTGGGATCCTTTAAATGTTCAGGTACAGAAATTGATTCCCAATTTTCATTTGATAAGCATTCAGGCAATGTTTTTAAAAAGGCTTATCGAGGAAAATTAGGAGTTTTATTATTGAAAAGGACAGTTGGTCCTGGTAGTTGTATATAAATCACTTATTGAATCTGTTCTTGCTTTAAATATTGTATCCTGGTTTAACTCTCTTTCTGTTAAAAGCAAAAACAGACTCTTAAGGATTATTAATGTGGCCAGTAAAATAATTGGTCCCACCTCTCACTGATCTCTATACTGTGGCATTAAAAAGGAAAGCCTTCTTATTGTGGGAGACTCTTACCATTCCCTGCATAGTTCTTTTCAGTTACTTCCATGATCTGGCAGATGGCATTAAGTGCCTTTGGTGAAAAAGGCCAAGTATAAGAAGACCTACATCCCAACTGCCATTGGTATTTTAAATAGAATCTTAAAATGATTTTTTTTATTTTTGTAGTGATGTATGTAATGTTAACTTTTGTTGTGATTATTATTTGTATTGTTTTTGGTTGAGCCTTTGTCTAAGACAATTTTCTACCTCATTGGGGACAATAAAGCAATTTGAATTTGATATTGGAGCCCTGCAGACCAACATACCCCCAACACAACCTGTCAGACTAGAGTTACGCCCCTAATGACTGGAGTATATATTTATACCACAAATTCCTCAAATATTATTGTGCTTTGTCTTTGTCATCTTTTCTTGCTCACTTGCTAATGGCAGCAAATTGTAAAGAACTCAAAAGTTGTAGTGTAATCTTCACGCTGTACAGGATGTTATACAAATTCTTGAATTTCCACCTCCGCATACTGCCTCTGAAAGGTAGCTTTAGTCAGATTTTGAATACAATCATTGCCACACTTTTGCTTTTCTTTACGTTTATTTGCAGCAATTTACAGCAACACGGACAAATATAACATTATACTGTGTATCTACCTCTCTTGCATCCTTCAATGGAAATAAATTACACAGACTTTAACTTTCTTAAATAACATTGAAGTGAACAAACAACATATAGAAATATACATGCCTCCAACTCCTTTCCATCACATAGGTAAATGATGAATATGAGAGGTGGAGAGAAAGTAAAAATAATGCATATTAATGTGCATCGCATACTTTTAATGCAAATAAATATTTATATGCATGTTGTACCTTTCAACAAACCAAAAAATATATAAAATTAAATCAAATCCAATGTATTTCAAGCTGATTTAATGTTATTTTGTTGTTCTGGTTTGACACCACATGAAACTACATACATTTATAAAGAAAATACAGTGTTTAATGAGTATATCCTTGTAGCCTTAGGAATTGATTGCATCATAAGAAGTGCCATTTCCCAGTGGTAATGCTTAATTCTTTTTTCAAAATTGTCATTATTTGTTATTATTGCTGTTAAGTATATTACATTGCTGTCAGTATGTATTAAATTACCGCACTAGTTGTACAATTTCAGAAAAGATGCTTATGACATTATTTCTTTGGAATAATGTGCACCAATTAATAATTCACAGTAAAAAAAAATGTATGAAGTAAATAGGGTAATTTAGATGTTCTATTCACTTTTAAAACCAGCTCTTAAGATTTTTTTTTAAAACTGCACACATCTAATGCTATTTACAATTAACAAAAACAATAAATTGACATTTAAGTCTTGTTGAAACAAGAAATAGCTCTCAGACATTTAATAAAAAATTGAAAATAAAGTTCTGTTCCAAAACCTAATGAGCTGTCTTGCTGCCTACATAGGCTTTCTACTAATTAAAATGAAACCTCGTAAGTGGCTAGTTTGAAATGCTCTACATAGGCAGCATCTCCATGTGCCACACAAATAGCACACCTCACATGATTCTAATAGCGATTAAAAATGTATAGAACTTCTAAGTTAGCAACGTGATATTCTATATACAAATTAGTGAGTAAACAGACTGTTTAAATTTTTGAGTGTGTGTGTGTGTGTGTGTGTGTATATATATATACTGTATATTGGGGTTGAATTTTGTTGGATGTATATATAAATATAAATATTAAATATTTGTGGAAACCATGTTACTTTTTTTTCAGGATTCTTTGATAAAAGAAGTAGTTCAAAAGAACAGAATAGAATATAATTTGTATTTGTAACATTATAATAGTCTTTACTGTCCCTTTTAATCATTTAGTGCATCCTTGCTGAATAAAAGTATTAATTTCCTTAAAAAAACTAAAATCTTGTTGACCCCTGACTTTAGAACGGATATATATATACTGTATATTGGGGTTGAATTTTGTTGGATGTATATATAAATATAAATATTAAATATTTGTGGAAACCATGTTACTTTTTTTCAGGATTCTTTGATAAAAGAAGTAGTTCAAAAGAACAGAATAGAATATAATTTGTATTTGTAACATTATAATAGTCTTTACTGTCCCTTTTAATCATTTAGTGCATCCTTGCTGAATAAAAGTATTAATTTCCTTAAAAAAACTAAAATCTTGTTGACCCCTGACTTTAGAACGGTAATGTGTGTGTGTGTACATACATATATAGAGACAAAATAACAGAGACAGATTCTGTGATGTCCTTTGCCGTCTACAAGTTTTGGAACACAGCTTAAATATTTATTATTTGTTATATTTAATGTTTACTCAGTACGAGTTTCATTGACACCTGTACTTACCAATACCATCAGGTGCAGATCAGTGAAATTCATTCTGGTGGATGGCTTTTCATGTGTCTTTTGGTGGCTAAAGGCTTGGCTTTTATAGTCTTGTTTCTTTAATTTTACTGTTGCCATAGTCAGACCACAACACAGGACTGTAATGCTGCTGTGAGGTTATGCAGTCTCAGTTTCCATATGGATATCTTTTCATAACCCTGCCCCAATCTTCCTATCACTTCCTCCCACCTCCTCCATGTCATCCTCAGAGAACGGGCTGTCGGGGTGGTATCCTAATGTAGACGTGTGGTGCAGAAAGTCTGTGCAACGTGGTACATTAAGGTTGTCGTTTATGAATTTGTGTTGCCCTTCTTCCTCATCTTCCTCATCCTCCTCCTCAAGATCGTCCTCTTCCTCATGCTCCTCCACACTCTGAGCGATGGCCCTGCGGCCATCCCTTCCTGGCCTCTCATTGGTCGATTTGGTTCCCCCGCGTTGACGTTCGACTTCGACCTGCGCAGCCTGTTCTTTAGCCTTACGACTACGTTTCCACTTCATTCGACGGTTTTGGAACCAGATCTTGACCTATTTTACACACAATCCCACAAAGTTATCAGCAAAATAACCACTTTCTACCAAAGAAACAATAAACCAATAGAGAAATATAAAAGAATTTATGGAAAATACACCATGGTTTTTAGACAATAAAGTGATGGTGATAGCATATATACTGTAGATAGGACCCAATGTACTGTTGTATATATACTACCGTTTAAAACTCAGTAAGATTTTATGCATACATATATATATTAAAATGGATCAAAAGTGACAGAAAAGACTTTTATAAAGTTAAAAAAGATTTCTATTTATCAAATAATCCTGAAAATTAATCATGGTTTCCACAAACATATTAAGTAGTTTAAACTGTTTTTAACATTGACAAAAACAAGAAATGTTTATGAGCATCAAATCCACATAATAGAATGATTTCTGAAGGATCATGTGACACTGAAAACTGGAGTAAAAAAAAATTGGCTTTGTCATCACAGAAATAAATTACATTTTGAAATATATTTAAATAGAAAACTGTTATTTTTAACATTGTCACAGTATTACTTTTTTTTTTTTTTTTTTTTTTCAAATAAATGCAGCATTGGTGAGCATAAGTGACTTTTAAATATATATATATATATATATATAAAATGCTTAATAGATTATTAATGGATGCATTCAAATAGTTAGAAATGTCATAAAACTTTCATGATTATTATAAAATGTAAAAATGAAGCATTACTGAAGTACGTTTTACAAGAAAATACTCAGAATTTCACGTTTAATTCAATGTGTCACTTGCCGTTTCTTTTCACAATTTCTTAATTCTGAAATGTACTAGCATTTCTGAGTGAAAATTGTTACTACACTTTTTTTTGTCAATGTATATTATTACAGTAACTTTTGATCTGCTAAGGATTATGTAATGTTCAGTAGTGACTTAACAAATTGTTACCCACACATCTGAACGTTACCCCACTCACAGGTGTAATCGGGCAGTCGTGGTACCATGATGCCAGCTCGTATCCAGTGCTCCAGGGGTAAAGATCCGGCCATTGCCGCTGCCTTCAGCTGCTCCGGATACGGCTGCGTCAGCTGCGTAAAACCCGAGTAAGCCAAGGCAGGGTGCTGACATCCCAAAGATGAAATAGGGTACATGGGCGTTGTGTACATGCCTGGAAGTGAAGTGAGTCCCGGGTGTGGAAGATTGAGCAGCCCTGGTTTAGGTATGATTCCGGTTTGGATGTGTATGGCACCCGGGGTCCCGCGGGGGGACGGAGTGTCGGCGCGCCTGCAGGACACCGGGCTACCCGTCGGGCTGTCGCTGCTCAGTCCAGGTGATGCTTCTCGGGTCCCCCGATGTGGTTCTTCAGCCAGAAGGGCGTCGATCCTGAAGTTCTTTGATTTTTCCATTGCAACACTTTTAGGGTATTTGGAGTTGCAGGAAAACACTTGGATAGCTGCGTTTTACGCACAGATACATGCGTTTTAATCGCGATTACTGATACTTTCTGTTATTTTATAACTTAGATATTTAGAGTTTAGTCTAACTAATTTTTGCCAATTTGGAACGATGAGACGCATAAAGTATTTACTAAAGTAGCCTACCGTTAATCTTTTACGCACAGAAATGTAAAATTCGCCTAGAAATGAGACGAGCGCTTAGTCGTACTATATAATACCACTCTCTCTTGTTTAGAACTGAAACTCCGTCATCTGCTCTGCTCTCTGAACTTCTTTGCGCGTTCACATCTCAGTCATAACGCCTGTGTGAGCGCTGATTGGCTGCAGAGGATGTCCTGCGGGAGTAGATCACTTGACAGTTTTCTAATTAACTAATCATACTGTAGTATAGACACTTCGAGCTTGTCCTTGGACTAAGACTTACTCTTCAACCAACATCAGAGCAAAGACGATTGCGAATTTTACAAGTGCCTGACTGACATCAAGCGTTTCTCATCCTCTGACTCACTAGTAACTCAGTTAATTACACTAACTGCAAGTGTAAAGGTATGCCTAAAGCATCAAAAAAGAATTAAAATAGGCTAAATAAATACATAACTTCTTGTCGCAATGTTTATTTACTTGTATAAGATTACGATGCTTTTATTTGTGACCTGAAACACGTAAATTATACTTAAAAATCTGAATGTATAAATATAATTTATTATTGTTATTATTATTTTTTATTATGTATCTCACATAATATTACATGAAAAGTATGATCTCTCTGAGCAGTTGTCCAAGATGTATCCTACATATTAATACTAATAATGTGATGTAATATTTTGAAACGACTTTTTTAAAGAATGTCGGCTATAATATCAAGATATTGCATTTTACGATTTTACATTATGTATAGTCCATAAAATTGTGCATTAACACACACACACACACACACACGTGTATACTATATTGATTTAGACAAATAAAAATATTCTTTAAAAAAAATTAAAAGTCAGGTCAGACAGACATAGCTCCAACTGCATGCATCCACTTTTTACAGTGGTCTGCAATAATAGTAATAATAACAACAACAATAATAATAATAATATTTGCACGAATTTGTCTTTTTCTATGAAATCTCATTGATAATTTTCATCGACTTGAGCAATGATACAAGTACATATGAAGGGGTTTAAGATGCCTTCTAATAAATTAAAGACTGTAGTCGTTTCGATAAAATAACACATTCCGACCGCATCGTGAAATAAATAGGCGAATCATCGCACATTTATGAGTAAAAATAAAGCAGTCTACAATCTTCTGTATTTACAAGTGCAAACGCTCCGAATGCATTATATGGGGAAAATACAAATAATAAAAAGAGTTGTACACCTATATATAAAAGAAATAAATGAAACACAGGCAATTCATTCAAAACCTTCATTCCAGCCATTAACTGCTTGTCGTAAACACGCAATAAATCGAGACGAAATGAATTGAAATTCGCAATTGTAATTTTAAATATTGCCTACAAGAAACAGCAGTGGACGGTGGATTAATAACATGGAAAACAGTCTCTGCACAGGCGACATGAGGCCGAGACTGATAGTTTCGCCTTGACCCGAGAAGATTGGAGCAGCCCGCCCCTCTATCCCGCAATTGAACGCTGATGCAGGCTGTGTCTTTAAACCTAGCGTGCTGCCTAACTAGACAGCATGTTTGAGGAAGCATTAGATAGTTACTGGCGTAAACACAGTCTAATGGTCATCTTTTGTTATTTCCCATTTTATGGTTTATAGTGTACATTTTATCGTAGGTTATATGACAACAACATTTTAAAATAAAGAAGAGCAGTGGTTCCCAAACCTGTCCTGGAGGGAGACATTTGTATGTCTCCCTAATCAGACACACCCAATTTAGTTATTGCAGTCCCTACTAACGAGCTGATGAGAGGAATCAGGTGTGTTAGATAAGGGAGACATACAAAAGGTGCAGGGCAGAGGGGCCTCCAGGACAGGTTTGGGAACCACTGCTATAGAGTGTTGTTTATATATATATATATATATATATATATATATATATATCCTATAGTATATATAGACCGTTCACTAGGTTTGAGACACATCTATAGAGCTAATTTGCTCAAGAGAAATCAAGTGCTCTCCGCATATTCCCAGCAAGCTTTTCCTCCCCTCGGTCGTTGCACTGCCACTGGTAAATCTGTCATTGGCACCCTGTGACAGAGGTGCGCAAATTAAAAAGAATCAATGCGAGCGGTGGCACCGCCGGCCTCGTGTCACATCCTCTCTTAAGTAGAGCGCACACACATACACGTGTAGGTTTGAGGCACGCTACCAGTGATTAAATGCAATGACAGGCAGTGCTAAAACTATAGACGGCTGAAAGACATGGATGGTTGTGGTAGCTGAGATGACTAATATTTAGGCTCTATTTTATTTTTGGATTCATATTTCAATTGTTTTTAAATGTTTAGATTTAAGCTGATTTACAATATTTTGCAAAGGTAGACCGAGGCATTTTACTGCGCTTTATGGTGTTCTTTCTATAAGTCCAAATGGCTTTGCTTAGATGTTGCTGTTTCATAGCTCAGGTGACTTGTATCTAGCTTTTATGTTTCAGTTAAGAATCAAGTTGGTCTCAGATGTTTCTCCTTAAAAGTTCCTTAATTGCTGATATACAGTAGAGCTTAAAAATGAATATAGTCCAAATTGTTCAGTTGAGGACTTGATGAGAAATGTTTTAGTTTGTAATGATATCTAATTTTAATTTTCAATTTGACTGCAGGTGGGATGTTTGAGCACAAAATGGGACATTTTTTAGATTATAGAAAGTGTTTTATTTCACTCAGAATACAGCTAAAAATAATCAGATAAATGTGGATACAATAAAATCAAACCACTGCTTTTTTTTTTGAGGAATTGTATTTTAGCCGGAAGCAGTTTGAAGTTGACTAAATGATTTACATCTACATCCTGGATGGCCTGAGGGTGAGTACATTTTCAGCATGACCCGAGTTCGAGTCCCGGCTCGTGCAGCTTGCCGCTTCATTTACTGTCCACTCTTCACTCCACTCGCGCAAATATTACATACATAACACTTGTCTGTAAACACAAACTTCATCTACTCTCACTTTAAGCAAGGGAGAAAAATGAATATATAACAGTTGACTTCGAAGTGATTCACAATGGATTCGAATTCGCAGAAATGTATATATATATATATATATATATATATATATAATGAAATATAATTTGTTGTTACTACTGTAAATATATATTCAATTATTATTGGATCTCCTTCAATGCTTTCAGAATCTTTACTTATTAAAAGATTTTTTTTTCAAAATAAGCAGAAAATAGTACAAACTTTCCTAAAGTGATTGTTTTGAACAAGTATTAACTTAGACATTATTTAAAAAAACAACAACATTATTTTAGCTGAAGTATTTGTATCACTACCGTGTGTCTTTTACCCCATGCTGGTGAGCCTTTTACCCCGTGTGTGGGGTAAAAGGCCCCTCTTGCCACCTTATACATTTATAAGGTTTTTAAACAAAATAAACAACTTGAATTATTTATTTTTACACAAAATCTGTTGCTCCATTAATGTTCAATACAACGTACAGTATATATTTTTCTGCAATTATACATTTTAGGTGCAGTGAATGGCACATTTTTTCTTGAGTTGGGCCTTTAGCCCCGTTGTACCCTACCTGTCGCGTTTACAGAACATTAAAGGCCTTATCACCGATTACAGGCATATTTTGCAGTCATTATCGCAGCTCAGCAAAGATCACACAGCCGTGACCGGCAGACACCTTAGTACCTTATGACCTCTCTTTGATCCTCTGCCTGTGTATTTTTTTAATGGAAATGAAACAGAAGTCTGATTAGCATGACCCAAATTTCAGTCTGTTAGAAGTTGACCTATTGGTCACTTTTATTTTGAACTATATGCATATAAATCACATTACAACGCAAGATGTTTTGTCTGGAACAATAATAATATCCTGGAATAGTAACATTTGCGTGGATAAGCACAACCACTCGTATCAGATAAAGTAAAATCTGGTTTATTATCAGATGTTTTATTAAACGAGTGCCATTCACAAGCCCTTTTAGTGTACCGACTTTTGACAAATTAGCACGAGGTTTCATCTAATGCATTATACTAATTATTCCTGCTCTGAAAACATCTCTGAGGACAGGTCCTTTCCTGGCATTGCTTCTGAACACTGATTAATATGCAGCTTTTACCCAAATGCCAGAAAGTAACTCAAAATCATTGTTTATCAATGTTTTTGTCCTCGATTTGCACCTTCAGTGTAGTCTGTGCTGCCAAACTTAATATGCTTTTATCCGTTGTGGCGCATCAAGGACTCATAAATTCATCTAGGCTGGCATTAAATGATGTGGCTTTATTATGTTGATCAGTTTTGCCATGGCTACAATGACTCTGTGATGGGTCAGGAAGTAATCATTCGTTCAGATAAGACGACTTCAAAGATAATCATGACACCTCCTGTCTCGTTGTCTGAAAACATACTTCATGTTAAATGCACGGTAATTTTTGCAGTATATCATATAATATATGTCTTGAGTATTTAATAACATTACTTATTATTTTATTAAACATTAATTAAATGCTATTTAACATTAACTTCTTTTTTTTTTTTTTACAGATGGAGATTATATTATTGACTTTGCTTTTATATCACTTTTAAATGAACACCTCATATAATTTAACTGTTTAGTTTGAGTGGATGACTTCAGGTGCAGCACTAACATCTGGCAATAAAAAAACATAGCAAGTGTTTTTTTTTCTTTAATTAAATATTTCAATCTAAATATGTCTCCTTGGGAACACTGTTTGGGAGCACACATTTAGCTATATATTTCATCCTGATCGTTCTCGTGTCATTACATAAATAATGACAATTATTTTAT